GGGCCTGAGTGATGCATGCTGTGTTGAGCAACCCATATTTTGAAGCTTCAGGCATTTTTAAAGGATGAACTCAACCAAAACACATGCTTATAGCTAACCGTTGTTTTTAGTTGAAGTATTACCTCTTAGAGAAAAATATATTTGGATGGGAAGTTTGGCAGCCATAGAGAAAATATAAATCACATGTCTGAATATCAAGAGCTAAAAGAAAGATAAGAAAAAAAATATGAGAAACATCTTTTCCAAATGTAATAGCTACTTATTTTATGCACATGGATGGCCAATTACTAAAGTTTAATTTTATCGGGACCTTTAAAACCAGTGCTGCTCAGTGATTTTTCCTTATGAGATAAACTTGGAATCTTTTAGACTTGGGATGCACTCTTGTAGTGCTTAAAGCTACTAAATGAGTCAGAAGAATGAAATGCTTGCTTTTTTAGACTTCATTATTATCATTGCTGATATTTTCTGATACACTCTATGTCATAAAAATAAGCAGTTTCTATCTGTTAAGGACATACCTAGGATGTTGGTATATTTCTGTAATGATCCTTCATTGATAGTGTTGTATACCCAAAGTTAGTATTAGGTGTCTATTTAGAATTTTCATAGAGCTGTAAAAATTTTGAAGAAGCTTGGGTAGCATATGTGCATTTATATGTAAGGAAATAATCTGTTTTGGGGAAAATCCTTATTATTTATAATTGATGTTAAAAAATAACAGAGGAAACCATTCAATGGAATATAATACCGTTATCCCCCACCTTTTAAAAAAAGTTTTTATTTTTTGTCTGTGGTGCTGGGGATTGAATCAGGGCTTTGCACATGCTAGGCAAGTGCTCTACCTCTGAGCTAAAGCACAGTTCTACCCCTAACTTCCTTAGCATCAAGCAGTCAAGCAGTCAAGCAGTAGTGATCCTAGACACTGAAAGGCTTGCCTGGTTTACAAGGCATGGTTTGGCTCTTGGGCATCTCTCTAGCTTCATCTCTTAGCAAGCCCTGTGCTCCTCAACTTCCACTTTCTTCCCTTAGTACTTCAGCTTGTTTGCACCTTTTGCTGTCACTGGAATGCTCCTCTCATACCCTCCCAGTTCACTTAGGTTTTAGAGTCCAACAAATTCAGTCAGGTTTGTTTGTTTGCAGTGCTGGGGACTAAATCCAGGGCCTTGCAGATGCTTGGCATGTATTCTACCTCCAAGTTACATTCCTGGCTCCCTCTTTTCTTATTGAAGTATATTATCACTTCAAAGTCTTTCTTTCGGTTTGAGATTTCACCTTATGAGTATGATGAAGGTGTTTATTTGATTACAGTTTTTTCTTCCCGATATACTAGGAGTACCCTAAAGACACTGTGCATGCTAGAGATGTAATTCAGTGTAAAGTGCTTGCCTAGAATGTACAAAGCTCTGGGTTTGATTCCTAAGATGGAAAGCAGGGATGGAAAACACAGTACCTATGCCCTTTGCTACTGCAGCCATAGCACCAAACCGGATGCTGGACACATAAACATGCAATAAATAATTCTGAGTGAGTGACATCCAGCTCAGTATTGAAAGGAGTTGTTGGATAGAGAATGGACAGCTCAGGAGAGAGATTTCTGTGTCAGAAATAAATATTTTTGGGGTCACTATGAAGTCAGATGAGTGAATGGGCTCTCCCAAGCAGTGTGTGGGTTAAAGACAGATTTGTTTTTAACATAAGGTAAACAGTAATGTGGTTCATGGTCATGTCAAAAAGATGCTGGGGGCTGTCTCTGTTCAGCTGTGCTCTCAGGTTGATTCTCACTCTGGGTCCTGGAGCCCATTCACCCAAAGGTGGAGATAGATCCACCTTTCTACCTTCTTATGTATCCTATCTAAGATAAGCCCCCCATTTTTTTTCTTTGTTTTATACAATAAAGAACTTTAATTTATGCTTTTTTCATGTTGCTTGTATTATTTCTTTTTCTGTTTTGTTTACTGCTTTTGCACCTGGTTCAATGCCTTATGGGTACTATTGATTAACAAAATTTGAAATAATTAAAATCAGTTTTCTTTTCATTGTGTGTAATTGAAAAAGTGGTTCAATTAATTCAAGGAGCCCTTCATTAAGCTCTGCATTTTTTGTTTTTGTTTTTGTTTTTTACATGCTTGACTGTTCAGTGTTAGACATTCCATTTTGTTTTTCTTATAGTCAGAGTGCTCACACTTTTTATTAAGACAACTTTACATCTTTCTCTCTCTTCTTCCTTCCTGGTACTAGATGGAAAAAAGGACCTTAATTGAGCATGCAAGGCAAACACTTCACCCATAAACTTTATTCCTAGTTCCACACTTACTTTTCAATCACATTCAATAAATGTTAACTGAGCAGTTGGTATTTATAACATATGTTTTCTATACATTTTATATCAGACTGATTTTTAAATATGTGCTAATACTATTCATTAAGAAAGTATTTATTTATTTTTTTCTGGAATAAGTTTTCATATAGGGTCCTTCCCATTGCCATTTAAAAACCAGGAAAAAATAGGAAGCTTTAAATCTGTCTTGGCTTATGTTGGTTGTAGATAGTTTTTGTTTGTTTGTTTGTTTCTTTGATTTGTTTTTCTAAACTGGATACTTGATCTTCAGATCATGAGGTTGGCTTCTACATATTTTTTCCAAGTTGAGCATAAACTTCAAGGATACCATAGGTCCTTAATAATATCTTGATTCCATTACCATATCTTTATTTATTCCTTGTTAACTTTTTGTCTCAGATATAGCCCAACTATAAGTGTTTGCAGTGAAAACCCATGTTATCCTAAATGCCAGAGCAAAAGAGCTATAGCTATATCAATTGTGTGCACTTTTATGCCATAATAGTATGGCTTTTGCTTCTTGTATGCCCACATTTGTTATTATAGAATGTGTTCATTATGTAAACTTGTTCAGGAACATAGAAAATTTCTATCAAACATGACTCTCTATATATTTTAAAATCTTTAATAAAGAAGAAATCAGTCAAGGTTCTCACAAAACTCAGACCATCTCATGTTGTCAGATTTTTTTTTTTTTTTATGCTATGGATAGTTCCTTGACAGTATCATCACTTTCTCTGGTTATTAATCAGTAATCATAAAGACCTGATTGTGATCCAATAGATAAGTAAGATAAGAAAATTCTTTGTAATTAATGGAATTCTCAGAACTGGGCCTGTGACTTAGGCATGGTTCTCCAATCCCCCACAGACTTGCCAGTTCTTGTTTCAGAGGGCATGTGTGCCACTTGTCTAATATAGAAGTTTGGTCTATGGTGAACCCCTGAAACCTGACCACATTATAATAGTGGTCCAGTCAATCCAAATTAATTTGGAACATACTTGGATTGTGCAGGGTGAAACACCATTCTGATACTTCATTTGAGTTGGGCTTCAGAGAAGGGACAGCAGTGGGCTCTCCTTTGATCTCCTGCCAAATGTGTAATCTCACAGGCCAGTAGGCAGAGCCATCACATCTAGCTCCTAACGCTGCATCCGGCCTTGCTGCTAACCAAAAACTAACCCATAGGGGAGGCATAAACATAATATACATTATATTCTATAATTGTGTATTGTAGGATCCTTATTTGATTAAAATAAAACCAGATGAGCATGAGTAAAGTAGGTGCTGCCTATTAATTTTCTGATACCATAAAATCAATACTGACGCCCCATCAGGCAAAAACAAGATGGCAAATCACATCTCCTGCTTAATAATCTTGACATGTTTTCTATTTTATTATTTTATTCTACCCCTTCTCTCTTGCCAAATGAAAAAATTCCACGAAGTTAGTGTTTATAATGCTCACTGAATTATTGAGAATATTCTGATTATTGAATTGTACAAATAATGCATTGAAATTTTATACAACACATTAACCTTTAGTAGTCCTCAAATCTTGTATCCACAAGTGTGTTGGATGTATTTCTCACATATACACACTTACTAGGTGTGTTTCCTTATCTCTAAGGCCTGGATCACAAAGTGAATAGTTCTGTTCACTGAAAATAATCATTAAATGTACAAACGTTGCCCCCTTCTCAGAGATGCATCTTCAGCAATGAGAATTCCATTCTTCAACAGTTGATTTTAGGTGCTGAAAATGTGTATTTCTCTGTTTATTAATGAAAGCACGGAAAGCATTTTCATTTCCTGCTGCAGTCCTTCCTTCCTGTTCTAGTTATGAGCATGCAATGCTAAAACCCACTGCACATCATCTGCCTTCAACTTGCATCGAGAAAGGAATGCCACTCAAAGATCATCTGGAATTCATCTGACTTTGATAATGAAGTGCAGAGCGGTTCTAAAAATAAAGGCAGGATTGTGGTGACCATTAGGAGCAGCTTATTTCATCATTGTTTTTCAGTTGTAGCCTTGTGCCTTGTATGGTAGTTTCTATTTCTACAAGCTGAGAGAGCCATTCTATTCCAGTGGTTTGGGAATGCTTTAATACAGAGCCTTACAGAGCCTGTGTTTTTGAGAACAATATCTGGCTCATACAAGGAGTCTGTGCTCTGCAAGTGTAATGTTTGATGCACATGAGGAGAATTAGCACCCGTCGGAATTGAGCCAGAGAAATGGACTGGAAATGCTACTGTCAAATAAAGAAGTGCTTATTTATTGATGTTACATTGAACTTATAAATAGAAAACATGTCAGCATTATTAAGCAGGAGATGTGGTTTGCCATCTTGTTTTTGTCTGATGGGGGGTCAGTATTGATTTTATGGTCAAAGGAAATTAAAGGCAGCACCTACATTACTTGTGCTCATCTGGTTTTATTTTGATCAAATAAGGATCTTGCAATACATGATTATAGAATATACCTGGAGAGACAATGCAGAAGTTTCCTAGGGGCTTTGGTGGCTGTGAATGTAATAGTTAATTGATTTTCACCTATTGAATTAAGGAGAGGACCTCAAAGTCCTTAGTAATCTTATATTTCACTCTGGATGTTATTATTTAGTTCTACAGTTTGGTTTTCTTTTCTTCTTCTTTAGATACTAGCTCAGTCATGTACTGAAATCCTGGAATTGAGGCCCTCAAGTGTCTGTGTGGGGGGTAAGTGTTTGGAATTTAAAAATACCATGTTAAGAAATTGTATTTTTTTTTCTAGCTAAAATATATGATTTGAAACTCTTGTTGGAAGAGAATGGCAAAATTAACTTTTTTGGCATCTTTTTTGTGTAAGAATTTTTAAATAATTCCTTGAAATATTTCTATTTTAAATTCAAATTTTTAAGATTGGAGTGTTATTTTAAATAATGAGCATATTGTGTGACAGGCTTTTAGAATCTTCTGTATATTTAGTTCACGTTGAGACCTTTTCTATGGCAAATAAAATAAAATATGAAATCTTTTTTTTTTATCTGATTATACAAACACTCTCTGTAGACTTTGAGCTCTCTGCTTTGATGGCCTGGCCAAAGTACAGTGTCTGCCATCTCAAGGCACATAAGGAAGTGACTTGTGAGGGGAAGGAAGGAAGCAGGTGGTTTCATCAGCTGGTACTCTGAGCACACTCAGGTTTCACATCTCCCAGCCTTTTTGGCCTAGAGAAGGTCTGATTCTAGAAGAGGAAATATATTGAGGCTGGTGCTAGGATTGAGAAATATATCAAGTAATTTACCACAGAACCTCCCAGTTCACTGGGCATGGTCATAATTAAACTCTGCATCTCTAGAATTCCTAATGAATGATCATTGAGATGTTTGATATGATTAGTGCATCCAAATACCCCAAAGCAGGTATATATTTTCTAAGGGTATAGATTAATAAATTCCTAAAGATAACATAGAAAATTTAATGAAAAAGTAATATTGAAATGATAACTGTTCTTTATTGCTCTCCTACTTTTTGCTGGATTCAGTGTTCTTTGGATGTATACTTTTACCTAATTCCCATAAGTACAATTTTAACAGTTTTATAATCCATGATTTGCAAATGGAGAAACTGAGCAGAGACAGGTCCAGTATTTACCATTAGTAAACATTCTATTAAATCTTTATTTGACAATGCCCAGACTATTACTGAGTCACATTTTAAGTTTTACCTGTACTTTATCTATTCATTAATTTTTTGAGACAGGGGCTCACTATGTTGCCCAGGCTGGCCTCAACTTTGCAATTCTCCTGCCTCAGGCTCCCAAGTAGCTGGGATTATATACACTTGCCAGTATGCCCAGATACCTGTTTCTCATTGTAACCTATCAGTAAAATTTCTTCACTGAATGAAGAATGATCTGGCAGATTTTGCTTCCATATTTAATAACTATATGTGCATTGGATTATGATAGAAAAAGTTTGGGAAGACTGGGAGTGTAAAGTGAATTAAAATGGAGATGAAGCCTGAAGAATCCCTAAAACAAAGACAGTTAGGACTCCCAAGTAAACTTAGCTTGATTTGCAAATTGAAGCAAAACTTAACTTGAGCTCTTTCTTGTAAGTGCATGTACTAATGAAAAACAGAAGCTAGGCTCAACCACTCAAAAGCAACCAACAAATTTATAATTATATAAGTAGGGACTTTCCACTGGGATAGACCAAATAAGGCACTGTATAACTGCAACCAACCAGATGTTTTCTTTGCTTTACTTCTGCGTCCAGCCTATATCAACTTCCCCTTTTGGTCTTTTAATGAAGTTCCTAAACCACTTCTGACTTGGAATTGCAGTTTATTGTAGTTTGCTCAGATAAACCCTTTAACATTTTATCGTGCCTTTTTAATTGGAGTTAGTCATTGTTAAAATAGTTAATAACACCATCTTGTAGTCTAGTAGCAAACATTTATTGCCTAGCAATATATTTGGTCTTTGAGCTTTTCTTTTAGTATAGTCTTTCACGCTCTAACATTTATTTCTTGTTCCCGCTATAGAGAAAGGGTACAAGAAGTTAAATCAACTCATAGTCCCTGGCCTAGATTATTTGTAACCTAAAAATACATAACTTCTGAGGAATTATAAATATGTAAGCAATAGAAAATGAAACCAGGATTAGTGAGGTAAAGAAGCTGTTAAAGAAAAGCTCTGTATGAGAGAGAGGCAGATTAAAGAAAATAGTACACATGACTTTTCTAAGAACCATAGAACATGAACAATTAATTAATTTTGTCTACAGATCCAAACCTTAATACCTAAAAGTGGAGAAAAATAAGGAGGCTTCTTTCTTGTATTTTTATAAGAATACAGATGGGGAAATTTTGTCTGGTATTCGGAAATGAATGTTACAATTTAATACTAATACTTTGGTCACTATTTGAAAATACTTTATTAGAAAATAAAATAATGCATTCCTAAGTGGTGGTGAGCAGTGTCTTCTATAGATTTACCTAGAGGGCCAAAGAAAGAAAGCACAGTTGGAAGGATAAGGTTTTATGTCTTCATTATTATAGGTTAACTGAAGGGTATGAATAAATTTATCTATGCACCTTGATTTATTTAAAGTAAAATCTTTAATTTAAAGCAATGATTAAAATGTTCATTTTTCCTTTTACTTCTAGAGGAATTTCAGATTGTTCTGAATGGAAGAGGCTTCATGTTGGGGAGTCGGAATGGCAGTGTCCTCTGTACCTACACTGTCAATGAAACATACACCATGAGTAGGTCTTCAGAAATCACAATGTGACTTTAACTTCTGCACAGCACATGCACTTTGAGTGTTTCCCTCTTTTCTTCAGACTAAAATCAGCTATGGTATAGTTTTTAACCAGAGAGAAAAGAAATGAAATCTCTATGATAATATAGATAATATGTTCATAATTCAGTAAATGCTGGGCACTGTCCTAAGTAGCCTCATTATTCAGATGAGGATTAAAATAACTTACCCATAGTGAAATAACCAATAATGAGCAGAGGTAATATCTGAACCCAGTTTTCATCACTAGTCTCTATGGACTAACCACATAGACTATCTGATCGAATTGCTTCTTTTCCTAGACTTTGGACAATCTTGCCTAAAAATGTAATTATCTTGTTACCTGACTACTACTCTATGCCTTTTAAAATTTTTTTGTCACTTGTTTTCTTTATCTAACTTTTCATAAATTTGTCAATTTCTTGAAGATAGATATTTCACCTTATAGATATTTTTATCTCCAATGCTCACCCAGCATCATTTGTTAATGATTATTATATTAAATGGATCTCAGTTTTTTGAGCAGCTTTTGGCCTCTAGGAAAATGTATTTCTTCATTGATGATTATATTGTCTTCCAAAAATTTATGTTGGGAGGCAGATTCTGTAACTCTATAATTCTAAACCCTGGTAGAGTTATTTTTGAAAGACTCATCCACGATTTTGCTATTTAGCTGATGGTGTTAAACACTAATTAGTACGGCTTTGGCCACACACACAGTAATTGTTCAGTAGTGTTTGCTGAATTAAAGTGGTGAGGATCTCAGTATGATACATGCCATAATTAATTCCTCTATTTCCTATTAATATCATGATTCTGGTAAGGCACAACAGTGCTCATAACAAACTCTTCATAATAGGATTCAATAAATTCAGTAGTCATTTGTATATAAGTGGTAGCTTTACCTTCTGTTTGTATATTTGAGATGATTATATTATAAACTTATTTTTCACTTAGCTACATAAGACTTAGTTTATTAAATTCTCAATCAGACAAGGTGGAGTTGAAATTGTATTTTCAACATTCACATTCTAGAAGATCCATTTGAATATGTAACTTCTCTGAATATTTCTAGTGCAGATTATTTTCTCATATATTATTAAAATTACAAGGGCAGTTTAAACACATTGCTTAGTAAAATATTAAATGTAGCTATTTTGTTAAACTTGTGGAATAAGTTAATTTTCCACTAGACATTTATTTTCCTTTCCCCATCTTTCTGAATTCTGCTTTCAAAAAAACACATTCTTAAAAATCTAATATATGAAGCAGGAAAGATGATTTTTTTATAGTATCTGTAATTGTATGTGAGTTACAATTGTATTTTTTTAGTCTAAGTAAAAATCTATTTATGAGTTATCAAAACTCTATATCAATGAGGTATATAATCTTTTTCCATTTCTAATCTCTTTTCTTCTTTCATTAGTTTTTAATGCTACTATACCTCATATTTCACACCTAAACTCTTAATTTTGAAATACTCTTTATTTTATTAATGAAACTATATGAGATGCAGAAAACTATTAATTCAATGACATTTTATTTTTCAGGTGTAAAACCAGTAAGTGTGCAGCTTAATTCTATGCTTTGTCCTGCACCTATCCTGAATAAAGCTGGAGAGTAAGTACTTCATTAATTAAAAAAAATTAGCAACTGATTGTTATAAAATAATGACAAGTATGTATTAGTAGTTTATTGTATCTTTTTAATGCACAGAATGAGCATTAAACAGTAACCCTAAACTATCTACTCTTTAGTACTTCTGCTGTACTTTTAATACTTGAAAATGCTAATGCTTGTTTTATCTTGTTTCTAATATTGACTAAAAGGTTCTATAAATATTTTTCTGAATGGGCTTGAAAATTATTGTCAGAGTCTGTAGATAATCAGAGCCACAACAATTATTTTGAATTTTAGGATATTTAATTTAACACACATCCGCCGTTACAGATGTCCAAAGTAAGATTTTGAGTGCTTATTATACAATTTAATAAATATTACAGTTAAAGAACAATTGGGCCATAATTATTATGGTGCATTCAGAACTAGGCAATATTTGTACATTTTTATTAATTTGTGATTTAGTTTGTGTCTCATTTCTGGTAAGGTCTATATGCATATCTCTTCAAGTGGCAGTAAACCAAAATGATAGCTGTTTTTAAGGAATATTTAGTTTGCAAGAAGGGTTTTTATTTGAGTCATCTATGTACAAAAAATTTAAGTAGAGACTTAGTTTATCTGTTTGTGAGTGCAAATAGTTCAGATGTCTTCTAGTCTAATAGCAGTAGATATAAGTGTTTAGGATAGTGATTAGGATACAGTTTTCTAGGATTAATTTATACTGATCTTTTACTGAGAACACAGAATAATTATACAAAGCCACAACCTAAAGTCTGGATTAATGTTCAGAGAGTGATCTTGTTTTACCCTAGCACCTTACCTGACACCTGACACAGAGTAGAATCAACAAGCCTTAGTTGGATGAAAACTGAATGATTTTTTTTCTCAAATATTTTGGTTTACAATAAATACAAATATCTAAAAGAGGTCATTTGATTACTGGGGGAAGAGCCTATATCAAGTAGGAGAAAAATGATAAAAATTCTAGTTTTGAAGGGAGGACATACCATTTAAAAGAGTAGAACACTCTCATTTTAATAATAGTGAATATTCAAGGAAGACAGCTCAATTTCTTCTCCCAAGTAGTTATAAAATGCAATATGCTTGTTCTGTCCCAGGCATTGAATTTTTTTCCCCTAGAATTTGCCTTGGGGGACAGTCTCCTTTTGAATATAGTGCCAATAGAGGCTACTGATATTCCTTAATGATTTGTAAAGAGGCTAAATACACTAGAGATATAATTTTAAAAAATCACATACAGCACGATAAATATCAGATATGAGAAATCAACATTTGTTTAGCTTATGATATAATATTTCATCTGAGAATGTTTTGGGATAAAAATCCATCTAAAAGAATTGCTTTTCCCCTTTTTGGGGGGTGAGTATCAAGCACAGGATACCACTTGGGCCATCTTGGAAGGTTTTATTTGTTCATGTATTGGGTATTTGGGAACATCATTTCTTGTCCTGTTTAGTATACTGCAAGTAATTTAGTTCTTTCCCTTTGTCTTGAATTTTCTTCAGACATTTTTGTAGGTGATGGGCTCTTGTGAGATTGGATTAAAATCAACACAAACTAAAACAGTTTAGCCTTGTAAGGTGACTGATACTTAATATGTTTGCCTAATTAGCTTTTGGCTAAGGATTCAAACCCATTAAATAGCTAGTTAGTCTATGTTTCAAATAAACACATCTGGCCCAACAATGAGTGAAGGTTTTTCCTGTGTGAGGGTGACAGATGTGGTGATGGTTCCCCCTGTTCTGTCACTTAAATAATTAACAGCACACTGGTAAAGTAACCCTAGACAGACAGCCTCAAAGCCAGATGCATGGTCTCAGAGCTAGCTTCGTGGACATGTGCCTCATCTCATTAGACTGCTCTATCAGTTGCTTTGCTTTCTTATCTTTATGCTACATCCTGAATTGCTTTTTTTTTTTTTTTTTTTTTTAGAGAGAGAGAGAGAGAATTTTTCAATATTTATTTTCTAGTTTTCGGCAGACATAACATCTTCGATTGTATGTGGTGCTGAGGATCGAACCCGGGCCACACGCATGCCAGGCGAGCATGCTACCGCTTGAGCCACATCCCCAGCCCCTGAATTGCTTTTTTATTTTAGGATTATTGTTTTAAAAACTTAGTGCTTGTGGATTTTGAGATTATAAGAAAGAAAACATGAAGTGAAAGAAACATGAAGTGGTTCACTTGGCGATGAAGACTAAGAATGTATCACAGTAGCAAAGACATACCAAGGCCTGCATTCAGAAATGGATTTTGTATAGTAAATGGAAATGAAAGATATCTGGGATTCTGCTATCCAGGAATATCATTGCTGAGCATACCTGGAATAGGGCTTGAAGAACTTTCTTTGAGATAGATCTATGCTTGTTCCATTTCCTTATTTGATAGAGATGTTTAGGCTAGGATGAACAAATTCTTAGAAGTTAAACAGAAAGAAGGTAAAGGTGGTAGAAGAGTGGTTGTTCTTTTCTAATTCTTTCATAAGACATACTTTGTTTTTAAAAAGCCATGTGATTAAACAAATTGTCTTACCCAGAAGAATCTGTGGATTATTTAGAAATTTATTTATGCCAGTGGTGCACTTTTACCAAACCACCTTTTTTAGGTTTGAATAGGATGATCTCTTTAAATTTCTTTGATTCTTCCCCATTTCAGGGCTGAAGCCCCAATTTAATGCACAGGTGTCACACGTACTTGTGATGTAGGCTTGTTCCCTGACCCTTTTTGTGTGCGTGTGAGACATCAACAATAGCACAGCTGCTCTGTAATCGTTGAGATCTCAAACCTGTAATTTGGCAAAGAGAACAGAACAAATTGGGTAAATATACATAAACACATTGTGAAGAAAGAAAAAACAGAACAGAATGAACCAGAGTCTTATCCTACAGCTTGTTTGATAAAGATGATTTAAGGAGGCATATGGTATAGTTAAATGTGCTTTCAAAAACATTGGCCAGAATCTTCTGGCAAATATGAAATAAATATCTAAATCAGATGAAAGTGATAGTATTAGTTCTCTTAAAAGGCAGTGTGGGAAGACACTTGACAGAGTGTTTTAAGTAAGAAGTGGTGGAACATCAGTGCATGTGGAAAATTCCAAGCATCTGATACCAAAGGATCACTGAGATGAACAGTGTGGCTGACTTGGGGTTAGAGCCTGACTTAGTAATAGAATCTTTTAATTTTCTTCTGCATTGTTATTTTTTTTAATATGAAGCCTAGTCTATTTTGTTGAAATCAAATTGATGAATTTTATTTATCTTTCTTGGTTTGCTAAATCTGTGTTTAACATAGTGTCTTCTTTTTCAAAAATATACCTATATATATATGTGTATACTTATCTCTGCAGTTCCTAATTCCTTTGTGTTAGCAGCAAGTGATACAACCACAACTTTATTCTTTCTTCCATTTCTTGTGATGAAAGAGACTTGATTTCTTTTAAATTGCGTACACTAGGACATTAGTTATGTCTTTTTTTTGACTACACACATTAGAATCTTGGTGAAATAGGCTAAAGTTGAAGACCTCCTACCCCCATGATGGAACATTTATCTTTTCTTTTTTATAGTATATTGCTTTCTGATGACACCTATCAATGTGATAAGTTCACCTAATCTGCATTGAAACTCTATCCTAAGATTATATACAGTTCTTGACACAGAGGAACAATAATTAACTCTAGTATATGTAGGGGTGGCCAAGAAGATATTGCCAAGTATGGAAGTGTTAAATAAAATACAGCTTACAGTACTGGAAAAAGATCTGATTATGGCACATGAGCTGTCCTGAAACATTTGAAGTTCTGTCATGTGAAAGATTTGATTTATTCTTTATTGCTACAAAGAAAGAAGGAAGAAAAAGTAATAGGTAAAGGGAAGCACATTTCAGTGCAGTGTAAGGAAGATCTCTGTAAAAATGGGAACTATTCAGCAAGTGTTTTGGTAACTAAAAGTGTTAAAAGAGAAACAACTCTATGATCATGGAGGGAATATTCCTCATAGAAGTACTTAAATCCTCTCACATATGCTTCTAAATTTTATATTATTAAAATTATTTTTTGTCTTTGCTTTTTACTTATCTTTAATTTTGCACTGAAAAGAAAAAGAAAAAGAGAATGCCAGCCATCTCAAGAGTGAGACACTTTTGGGTCAAGCAAGGAATATATTACATTTAAAGCAGAGGCAGGCCATCTCCAGACAGAGAGACTACTTATAGTTTTTATTATTACTAAAACATTTTTGACATTTTTGGATGAAAATCATTAAAAGTTAAGTGGTAATTTCCCAATATCTTTTGTTATTTTATTATAGCTCACAAAAGAATTAAAAAGGGATTATTTTTAGTGTAATACTGAAAATATTTATAATACAACTTTAAGTATGATTTTTAGCCTATCTTGGAATAAACCTTTTTTTTTTTCCTTCAGAAATCAAGACTGCGATTTTTGTTTAAATTATATGCATATGTTGAGCAATTGAAAATTAAATTATTTAATTTGAGAATCTTTTAACCACTTTAAAGTATACTTAGATACAACATTAATTTACGTATATATTCTTAACTAGAAGTGGAATCTTTTTAAACTATTCACAAATATGAAACCTCCTTTTTCAAGTTAAAATCTTTATTATTCATAAGGCTAACTTTTTAATAGCTCTGCAGAGTATTAAATAGTAGCACTTGATTTCAAAATATCTTAAGTCACCATAATTTTAATAACTTTTTGAGTAGTTACCAGTTTAATTTTCAGTATGTGCAAATTGGAGTCAAATTATTTATTACTTCCAGCAAATGTCTTTCACAATTTTATTTAATTTTTTCATCTTTTTTAATGGATCATAAAATGGAAATCTTTTATTGGACATGCATAAAGTCAGAAGCAAATGAATACTTTGCAAATAGGTTATGGTGAATTGAAATGTCAACCATATTTCATGGAGGATGAAATTTCTCAGATCACAGTAGCTCTGACATATGGC